GAGCTTCTCTGCATTTTTGGTTAAAAAAATTGTAATTATTACTATGGAAGATCATAGCACTTCTTTTTTTAAAAATTAAAAAGTCTTTATTCAGATTATTACAGTTGTTCCTCGTTTATCTCCCCATAGCTCCCCTCCACCTAGTGGGTTTGTGTGCCAGGTGTCCACTTTTAGAGAGAGTGGAAGGGAGGGAGGGTGGAAGTTGGGGGAGAGAAAAAGAGAGTAACATCGATGTGAGAGAGACACATCGATTGGTTGCCTCTGGCTCTCATCCCAACCAAGCGGCTGGGCATTGAACCTGCAACTCAGGTGTGTGCCCCTGACTGAGAGTTGGTGACCCTTTGGTGTGCCAACTCTCTAACCACTGAGATACACTGGTCAGGGCATGCCTTTCCCTTTTTACCTCACATTTTGCTAGCTTTTAATCTTTTTCTTAAAAAAATTTTTAAATTTTTATTTATTTTATTTTATTTCATTGAGTCTGCCCCCTGAGTGTGTCTTTTATGGATTTGAAGAGCTGTAATTTGGTGTGGTCTCACTCTGACCACTGGGTACACTGGCTTTTGGATCTGCAAGGAGGTGCAAAGTCAGCCACTTCCTGAGGCTACCCAGCAGGAGCTATGGAGAGATCTGCAGATTCCTCCTCTTTGGGGTTTGGAGGTGCCCAAATGAGGCACAGCTGTGAAGCAACACAGGCAGCTGACAAGCCTTAGGCCTTCTTTTGGAAGCTCTGGGGTTCTTTGACCCAGCTGTAGTTTGTTAGGTTAGGTTGCAAAAGGCCAGGCCATTCATATGCAAAAGTCTGTGTGCACAGCTTGGGTGGGGTTGTAAATTGGGTGGGGCGTGGTCTCAGGGAATCATGGGTCGGTGCAAACAGCAATGGTTGCCCATCAGTCCTGCCCCAATAGGTCCCTGGGTCTCTGTGTCCCGCAGCCCGTGCAGGAACAATGAAGGCTGCGAGCACCTCTATGAGAAAGCCGCCCTCATGTTCCGGCCCAATGCCAGACAGTCCAGTTTCTCTCCGTATGAGCCTGGGTCCCCAGAGTCTTGCCCAGAACTGGAGTTCAGAGCAGTTGGGAGTTTGTATCTCCCTCCCGATTGAAAAAGACTTGTATCTCCCTCCCAATTCAAAAAGACAACAGCGTACCCAATTGCCAGCCCGTTTCTGCGTGCCTCCATACCTCCGCACTTCTGCACCTCCACACCTCCTCCCAGTCTCAGTGCGCTTTTCTCTTTCCTTCTTCCACTCAGCCAGCCTTCCCGTGGTTCTGGATGATACCCGTTTTGTCTTTTAGTTGTAGTTTTGATGTGGTTGTGGGAGGCAGCAAGTACAGGCATTTACCTATGCCTCCATCTTGGTTCTCCCGCTAGCTTTTAATCTTAAAAAACAATGTTCCCATCCTTTTCTGTTGCTAGTTTAAGATTCAGAGTCTAGTGACTTCATGAGGGTGAGGGGGAGAGGAATCAAAATTAAAGAAAAATACCTTTGAAATGTTTTACCTTTCTGGATTTAATTTTTATTTTATTTTATCCTTACCTGAGGATATGTTTATTGATTTTAGAAAAAGAGGAAGGGAGAGAGAGAGAGAGAGACATTGATGAGAGAGAAATACTGCTCAGTTGCCTCGTATTTGTGACATTGAACCTGCAACCTAAGTATGTGCCCTGACTGGGAATTAAACCTGCAGCCTTTTTGTATATGGGAGGATGCCCTATTCAACTGAGCCACCTGGCCAGGGCCAGTTTTTATATTTTATATATAAAAATAAGTTTACTATATTGTCCTGTAAAATAATGGTGTAAGTATTCTCGTTTAGTTAAATGTCAATTAAATAAGCAGAATTTAAGAATATAGGTTAATGATTGAGCTGGCATGAGAGCCATTTTTATGAGTCCCCTTTTCTCTGGCAGCCTTACCTACAAGAATTTTTTAAAAATATATTTTTATTGATTCCCTACTGGGGAACAAGTCCACAACTGGGCATGTGCCCTGACCAGGAATTGAATCCTGTAACCTCTCAGTGCATGGGAGGATGCTCAACCAACTGAGCCAGACCACTCAGGGCACCCACTGGAATTTTTAAATTCTATATCTTTTTCTATGTATGGTAAGAGGAAGGGGATATGTAAAATGTTTTTACATTTTAAAGACAAAGTAGATCTTGAGATGATTCTTAAATTCTTTTTCTAAAATAGTAAGCTTGTTTTTCACCAACCCTTAAAGCTTTTGGTTTATTTTCAGTTAATGTGTCATTTATGTTTTGAATTATTAGAGTTGCTGAAGCATCTGTATTTTGTGTGAGAAGGTAGGTAGGTAAGGTGAACAATGACAGATAGTACGTGAAAGTATTTCAAAATAGCATTTCTTTCCTTAAAATTTTTTTTGAAATATTATAATTTATAGAAAATATCGGACACCCATCTACCCACCAACAAGGTTAAACAAATATAAAAATTTTACTTGCTTTAGTTTTTCTTTTTATTAATAAAATGTCATAGAGACAGCCAAAGTTCTAACTCCACATTCTTTTCCCTTCCCAGGTAGTAACTATTATCTTGAACATATCAATTTCTACATCTTAAACTTTTCCATATGGTATCTGATCTTATCTTCGTGTCTGGTATAGGCTAATCTAGTGTATATGCAATGATCTGGTTTAAAATAACCAACTTTACTTACTGTGTTTTAACTAATTATTTTCTTCTCTTTAGGAACATCTTCCAGAGCTCTTTGTACATTTTCAGTCTCAGAGTTTTCATACCTCAATGTATGCATCATCCTGGTTTCTGACTATCTTTCTTACGACTTTTCCACTACCAATTGCAACAAGGATATTTGATATCTTTATGTCTGAGGTAAGCTAATGGGCATTCTGAGCAAGGAATCATTGGGTTAATTAGAGCAGGGCAGTGAGGAGAACAATAAAGGAGCCAGGTGTCCCATGCTAAACTGCTTACATGGATGATCTCATTTAAACCTGTAACACCCCTATCAGGTACTGTTCATTTCCCCGTATGATTGATGAGGGAACCAAGACGTAGCTAGCTTGTGTATAGACACATAGCATATAAGTGGTATAGTAACCAGGATTCAAATCTAGGCAATCAGAATCTGGAGCCTACACTCTTAAACTTACGTATGACCTCCTGATTGATTTAGTAAGAATTAGTGAGTGATAGAATTTGCCTCACACTTAACATGTTGCAATGCATCTGCTATCCAAAGAGCCAGAAGTGATGCATCTAATTAATCTAAGTTTCTTCTTGTCCATGAACACCTTACAAGTAGCCCTTTAATTGTCATTGACATGTGGTAGGTGATCCTTTGTCTTCTGTATTTTGGATGAGAATATGGTAGGAAGGTAGGATAGGTGAAAAGTGGTAGATAGCTCCTATAGGTATTATTAATATTTTAATTACCTCTTAATCAAACTCAATGTTAATTGTTATTAATTACATCTTGGGAAGATTAATTTGTATTACCTAGCTAAATTAGTTTAGTCTAGAGCCAGCAAACTGTGATTTGTGTGCTGGTTTACATGCCAAACCTGTCCTTCCATTTGTTTTTGGAAGTAAAATTTTCTTGGAACATGGCCATAGCCATTTGTTGATATGTCTGCTTTTGGGCTACAATGGCTGAGTTGAATATTTGTGACAGTGACCGTATTGCCTACAAAACCTAAAATATTTACTATCTGACTCTACAGAAAATGTTTGCCAACCTCTAGTTTAGATTCCTGAATGTTTGCCTTATTATTCTTTTGAATGATTAGTTTTTGTTGATGGAAGAGTAAGACAAATTTGGCTTTATATAATTTGTTTCCTCAGGGTTTAGAGATAGTGTTTCGAGTAGGATTAGCACTTCTTCAAATGAATCAGACAGAACTGATGCAACTCGACATGGAAGGGATGTTACAAGTAAGTCAGTTCATGATTTATTGAATGCCTTTAGATTTTACTATTAATTAGTTAATAATAAACAGCACTAAGTATTTCTTATGTTTTTCTTTTATTGTTTCTTAGCACTTTCAGAAGGTCATTCCACATCAGTTTGATGGAGGTCCAGACAAATTAATTCAGGCAGCTTACCAAGTCAAGTATAACTCAAAAAAAATGAAAAAGTAGGTATTTTATATTTCGTTTTTTAGTAATAGGGATTTGTTGAAGCATATAGGAAATGAAATAAAAGTGGTAAAATATTCTAATAATAAGTTGTTTTCCTCCTCAGTTTATACAACTATAGTACTTTATTTGGTAGTAATGGTTTTATTTATTTATTTTATTTAATTTTATGTTTTCTATCACCATTTGTCCACTCTATGCCCGCTTCCACTTCACCCTTCCCAACCCCCTTTGCCCCCCATGAAATCACCACACTGTTGTCTGGTGGAAATGGTTTTAATGTAACAAATTTAATATTGGAATTTCATACTGCTCTTAATAGCAGTGCATGGGACCAAGTGGATTACCTTTAAAGCTCCCCTTTCCTATTCCATATGGATTAGAATTAGGAACCTGGTAAGTGTATATGTGTAAGTGTGCTATTTTAAAACCACTTTTATGGTGTGGTCCATTTCACTGACCTTCTTTTCCTCTCAGTTGACCCCTGAGTGTCATTTTTAAAGAACTTATATTTCTAATTGCTGGGGTTTAAATGATGACTACAACAGGAAGTCCCTCCTGTGGGAAACTTCCAGAAGTGCAAAAAACTGACATAATAAATATATATTTTAAAACGCCTTGACTTAAAAGTGTCCTGACTAACGAGTTTTTTGAGATACCAGCTGTCTCTCCGCCGATTTTTTGCATTGAGTTGATAGAGTAATTTGAGTTAACGAGCTCCTTAACGAGCTCAGTCTCGGAACGAATTAAACTCGTAAGTCAAGGCTCCACTGTATATATATAATATCCATCAGTGAAAGTGCCATATAGGAAAAACAAAGCAGGATGAAGGACATAGAGCAATGGGATAATATCTTAGATAGAACATGCAAGGAGAGGGTACACAGATTAACAAGGTGCATTTTGGCCTGGGTGGTGTGACTCAGTGGTTGAGCATCTACCTGTGAACCAGGAGCTCACTGTTCCATTCCAGATCAGGGCACGTGCCTGGGTTGTGAGCTTGATCCCCAGCAGAGGACATGCAGGAGGCAGCTGATCAGTAATTCTCATCATTAATGTTTCTCTCTCTCTTCCTCACACTTCCTCTGAAATCAATAAAAATATATTAAAAAAAATAATTTCAAAACCCGGTAAAGATACTTCAAAGAAAGAAAATTGTAGGCCAGTATCCCTGATGAACATAGATACTGAAATCCTCAACAAAATATCAGCAAACTGGATTCAGCAATACATTAAAAGTGAGATTTATTTCAGGGATGCAAGTATGGTACAATATTTGCAAATCAATAAATGTGATACACCATGTAAACAAACTGAAGGATAAAATTCACATGATCATATTAATAGATGCAGAAAAAGCATTTGAAAAATCCAGCACCCATTTATGATAAAAACTCTCAGCAAGGTGGGAATAGAAGGATCATACCTCA